AAAAAAAAAAAAAAAAAATATATATATATATATATATATATATATATATATATATATATATATATATATATATATATATATATATATATATATATATATATATATATATATATATATAGTTTTTCGTTTTACCTCAAAAGGTAAAACGAAAAACTATATATTTGAGGTAAAACTAAAAACTATATTACGCTCTATCTATAGGGTGTTGAGCACTGTTTGTGTTTCGTAAACCAAAATCTTAAGCTACAAATATATATATATATATATATATATATATATATATATATATATATAAATATATATATATATAATTACTATTCTTACTTAAAATGTTTTTTGTCTCTACTCCGAGTTTCACGCATTACTGTGAGCATCAGGAGATATTTCGTTTTACCTCAAAAAACCAGAACAGTCTGTTCATCCGTAAAAGAATCATCAGGTGGTCATGAAACAGACTGTTGTGGTTTTTTTGAGGTAAAACGAAAAACTATATATATATATATATATATATATATATATATATATATATATATATATATATATATATATATATATATATATATTATATATATATATATAGAGAGAATATATTCGTCACAAAAAATCGAGACATATTTTAAACAGAACTAAACAGTTGCTAATCCCGGGTTAACATGGTTGTCAACGTCGTTGTTATTGTCAATATTTGCATGTTGTTCAACATTATTTAGCAAACCTCCTACATACATATATACTGTTAAGATGACCGAGTCAGATCACAAGAAAGCTTATCAAGAATACTTGAAGGTAGAAACTTTTAGAACAGTTGTAATATATTTTGCCATAAAAAATAAATATGTTTTTATCAAATATGCGGTCGTTATATACGTTGCTATGTGTTGCCAGTCATTACCGATGCTTGGGTGTATGCATATATTAACGTACAACATATTTGTACACTAATCAGGCTGGCGGGTTAGACAAATCGCGCGGGCGGAAAGAGCGGGCTTTGCAGGAAAAAGTTTGCACAAAATTTCAGTTTTAAAATACATTTATTTCTTCAAAACGCTTTACAAAATTTAGTACGGTCTACTTCCAAGAGCGTAAAGTCTAGGTGTTTTTGTTATTTTTAAAGAGTTCTCATATTCTTGTCTATCTTTTGGGGATAACTTTGCTACTTGCTCGGGTTTCATTGGAATATATTTTGGTCTGTCGCTCAATATAAAACGTTCATAATCCTCTCTCGCTTCGTTCGGTCCAGTCTGCTGGATCGACCCAATTGTGGGAAAAGTTGCGCTTGAGTTTTGGTCGTTCCTCTTCTGTTGGTGGTGGCATAAGGAAATTAGGTTTAGGAGTAGCAGGCACTGGTGGTGCTATCTCGACAGATTCATTGGGTTGTGGCATCTCTGCAGGCGCTTGTGGGATACTTTGAGCAGAGGTCTCAGGAATTTCAGGAGAAGAATGAGCCATCTTATTTTTTAATGTCAGAAACCGGTTTAGCTGATCAGAATATAATTTTCTTTTTTCCACGGCGCTAAGCTGTGGCGCTTCCATGATTTCTTTCATTTGCTGCTCGGCATCATACATGGCATTTACAAGCGGTGGTTGTCGACACGACTGTTTTTGTATGAACTTTGCAATCTCGCCGGAAAGTATATTCGTCTTAAGTCGATCTTGGTCACATGTTGTTGGCCTTTAAATCCAACATTAAATACCGGTGAGGCCGGCTCGTAGCATCTTCATAACTCCTCATAAATTCTTGTACTTTCCCGAGATTTACTTGTCTGGCAAGCATAGAAATTTGTTGTTTATCTCTTGGTGACTTGAACAAAACGATATAATGGGAATTAAGGCTGATATTTCTCATTTCTTTGCCCTGATGAAATATATTTTGGACAATATAAGATGATAGACAAATTTCGATGATGACTTCTTTTCGTATAAAGATCAGCAATACGTTTATCCTTGCTAGATTGTGCCATGAGATCGTCCAATACGATCAAATTCTGCTGAGATACGTCCAAGTAATCTGTGTTGTCGATATCGTTGGGAATGCCTTGATTAAACTCGATTCTAGGCATCATCCTCATCATATCAAAATAGGACGGTTGCCATTGACCATAACACCAAATGATACGTTGAGGAGCAGGACTTA